ATTCACTTTTGTCCTTGGTTGCCCTGAATGCAAGCCAGTTTCACAGGGTCAGCCTGTTTGCCCTTTTGAAAATATTGACACAACGTCAGGTCAGGGGACCACGTGCTGAGAAAGTGGTTTACTGTTTGAATATTGTTTCCCTTTCAGGCATTAACCTTTAGTGCACAGCCCTAAAATGTATTCACGGTGGAAAAAAACCCCACTTTGATTCCAGCATAAAATACAGATCATGCCTTGCGCAGAAGCAATTTTTTTTATACTTCTTCTTAGTAGTTGATTCACAGCATTCCTATTTAGTAAATTAATAGTCAGACAGACATAGTGAGGTGCATACAACGGGGCTGGCAGGAAGTGGACTTTGTGAGAAATTCTGAATTTTCACTTCTAAAAGGGTGCTGCACTTTATTGGTCTTTGTAAATTTGTTATGATTGTTAGATTATTTCCCCCCTATAAAATACGTACCCTAAATGTAACATAAGCAAAGATGGAGAAAACAAAGTGGGGGGGGGAGAGTAGAAAGTAATATAGAACGTAAAGAGTGCTGAGCATCTATGACAAAGTCGTGTGCCTGCAGCAGTTGCACATACTCCATAACTCACAAAGAGACTTAGCTTTGTGTAGTAGAAGCGGGGTCATTTCCTGCAGGAGCGCACAGAAGCAGAGCTCTGGCAGTAAAGAGCCCAGGGGGCAGGCACATGCAACAAGCCCCACCCCCTGGTCCCAGCAGCCCTCAGTCAGAGCAAGAAGCAGCCGGGTAAGTTGCAGAGCCCCCCTGCCTCCCCGGTCCAAAACAGTCCAGTGGCGCCTTTAAGACCAAGTTTTATTCAGGTACAAGCTCTCCCTCCTCTGCGAGGACAGATCTGTACATCCCCCACCACCACTAGCTAGCAATCCAAAACAGTCCAGTGGAGCTTGAGCAGTGGGTGTTGCCTTCTGACATACTTCCAGTGACATCAGGGGGTGTGGCATATGCAAATAAGTTATGCTAATGCGTTATGCTAATGAGCTTTTTCTACGAAATGACCCCTGAGTAGAAGGATGTAGGCCCGTGTGCGTATGTGCATGGGTTGAAAAGAACGGGAATGAGAAAGATGGTTCTTCTCCTCTCTCTGCCACCTGTGTCTGGATGCTTGATCCTGTCATCGCACTGTAGAGTCATTGCCACTTCTGCATTGTCATTTTGTCACTCCTTTGTCCCTATTGCTTTGGGTCCCCCCCCTTTACCACATGTGTTTTGCTCCCTCTGGGACTACTAGAGAAAGCAACACACATGGGGGGGGGGAAATCTCCCTGAAACAATAGGGACAAACAAGTGACAGAAATGACAATGCGGAAGAGCAGGATCCATGTCCAAGTGAATATTTGAAGCTGAGACAAATTTCTTCACCCTTTGGTATTCAGGCTGAGAACAGTCTGCGACTTTCCCCCTCAGTTTACTTCGTGAGAGAGGTGACTGTTCTGTGAGATTAATCTTTAATCTGTGGGCAGGGTTCCAGAGCAATCCTGGATGTTAGTATGGACAGATGGGGGGAAAACACACCCTTAGCTGATAAGAGATGCTTTGTGCCAATAGTAAGGTGTTGGACAGTGAAGGGAACCAAATCCCTGGGTCTGATCTACATAGGGTTGCCACCCTCCAGGCAGGACCTTGAGATCTCCGGACAATAGAGATCAGTTTCCACAATATTTACAGCTAAAAGCCTATGAAACCTGGAATAGCATAAACACATTATGGCGAGCCAGTAATGTAACCAAAGCTGCCAAGTGTACGCTGCATGTGTGCCCAAAGGGCCAGCGTGTTGGGCAAGTGGGTGAAAACATCCACCCGTGGCACAAATTGGTAAATGCCCAACACAGGGGCGGATTAGGGCAGGGGAGGCTGATGTGATTAGATACCCGCTGCCTCGACCAAAGGCCTAGTGGAACAACTCCATTTTACAGGCCCTGTGGAAGTGTAATAAGTATTCTAGGTAAAGGTAAAGGTTTCCCTTGCTTGAAAGCCAGTTGAATTCGACTCTAGGGATGCTGTGCTCATCTCCATTTCCAAGCCGAAGAGCCAGCGCTGTCCAAAGACGTTTCCGTGGTCATGTTGCTGGCATTACTAGACGCCGAGGCACATGGAACGCTGTTACCTTCCCACCAAAGCGGTACCTATTTATCTACTTGCAATTTCTTGCTTTCGAACTGCTATGTTGGCAGGAGCTGGGGCCAGAGACGGGAGCTCACTCCGTCATGCAGCACTTGGGTCTCGAACGGCTGAGCTACCAACCTTCTGGTCTGCAGTTCAGCGTCTTAACCACTTGAGCCACTGCAGCCCCCAATAAGTATTCTACCAGGAACCAAATTCAGGTCCCTCCCCTCCCTAAACCCCTCCCTCCCCAGGCTCCACCCCCCAAATCTCCCGGTATTTCTCCTCCCAGAGCTGGCAACCCTTGATCTACAAGCTACCAAAAAAGGGAGTACTCAAATTTAAGTGCTTCACTGGCTTCAAAAGACCATCTGTGGAGGTATTCTGGAACAGGCATGTGTGGCATCTAATTTACATTTTAAAGACTATTAATTTTGCTGTAGCCATAAGATTAAGGCTAAGACTCTGGAAACACTCCATTTATTTAATTTCATCAAAATGTGTCATTCATGAATAATGCATGCATGCCTTGAGAGAGAGAGAGAGAGAGAGAGAGAGGGGTTGTATTTTGTCAGCTTGCAGTTGCCAATGCATAATTTGAGCTTGAAGCACCTCAAGCCTGCTTCAAATTCAGGTGTATACAAAAGAGCAATACATGAGGGTTATCTGAGCACATGTAGAATGCATTTTTCTGTCATCACCGAAGATTCACAGCCCAGAGTAGGAATTAGAGGATAATGCTTTCAGATTAAAGAGGCAGGAAAGTGTCTGATACCTGTTTTTAGAGACTCACCACAGTGGCTAGCAGCAGCCAAAGAATTAACCCAATATAAACCGTTGGAATTGTGAACACAGTCTGGGATCAGTACGAGGGGCATTTTTTTAACTCTGCGGTGGCTCAAGTGGTTAAGATGCTGAACTGCAGGCTGTGGAAAGTCGGTAGTTCAGCAGTTCGAGACCCGGGTGCCGCATGACGGAGTGAGCTCCCGTCTCTAGTTCCAGCTCCTGCCAACCTAGCAGTTCGAAAGCAAGAAATTGCAAGGAGATAAATAGGTACCACTTCAGTGGGAAGGTAACAGCGTTCCGTGCGCCTTGGTGGTTAGTCATGCCGGCCACATGACCACGGAAACGTCTTTGGACAGCGCTGGCTCTTCGGCTTTGAAACGGAGATGAGCACCGCAACCCTAGAGTCGGATTCGACTGGCTTTCGAGCAAGGGAACCTTTACCTTTACCTTTAATTGTAAAATTATGGATTTTAAGATGGGTGTAGTTGTGTCTGGTTTTACTGATGCAAGTAAGAATGTAAGAACGGCTCTGCGGGATCGGACAAGTGGTCCGCTGAGTCCAGGATCCAGTTTCGCACAAATGGCAACCAGTTGCCCTGGAAGGTCAACAAACAGGACACAGGGGCTGAGCCCTAAACCTGATGCTGCTTTCTAGTGCTGGTATTCACAGGTTTGCTGCCTTGTGACTGTGGAGGTTCCCTTTGGTCACCATGACTAACTGCCATTAATAGATTTATCTTCCATGACCTACCTAATCCCCTTTTAAAGCCAACTGTGCTAATAGCCATTACGACAACAACTGGAGGTATTTATTCAGGTAGGTAGCTGTTTTGGTCTAAAGCAGCAAAACAAAGTGAGTCCAGTGGCACCTTTAAGACCAACAAAGTTTAATTCTGGGTATAAGCTTTCATGTGTGCATGCACACTTCTTCAGATACACTGAAACAGAGTCACCAACTATTACATATAGGTAGCATGTGAAGAGGATGTTGCCAGGAAGGCAACATATCCAGAATAAAACTTTATTGGTCTTAAGGGTGCCACTGGACACAAACTTTGTTCAGAGGTATTTATGTTCGCTGTGTTTGTATTTTCATAATCCCTTTCGAGACTACATTAGTAGGGAAACCTTTTTAAATAAATGAAGTCATAAGTGGGGGCTTACTTCCTTTCCTGGAATCATGGGTCAATTGTGCAATTCTAAGCATGTTTACTCAGAAGTAAATCCCTCAACTTTCAACAGGCAAAGAATGTACATAGCTTCACTGGTTCACAGGAAAATCCAGAAACAAAACCCACCTTGTACCTTTCATAAACAGAACAGCCTAAATAACACAACACCGTGTGCAAGCTTTTCACCCAGGCTGCCTGGTGAAGAGTTCTGGAGAACCCAAAAGCTTACACTCCATTGTGGTTGCCAACCTCCAGGTAGTGGCTGGGGTTCTCCTGCTATAACAACTGATCTCCAGGCGACAGAGATCAGTTCCCCTGGACAAAATGGCCACTTTGGAAGGTGGACTCTTTGGGACTGCACCGAACTGAAGTCCCTCCTCTTCCCAAACCCCGCCTTCCTCAGGCTCCACATTCAAAATCTCCAGGTATTTCCCAACCCTGAGCTGGCAACTTGTGGTATTTCGATTGTTCTTAATAAAAGGTACCATAGCGCCTTTTTTGTGGGGGGGAGGGGGATTTCAGTATTGCTTCGCTCCAGCATGAAGCTTGCAACCCAGTCTCAGCGCCTTTACTCCACACTGCACGAAACGTTCAGCTATGTATAAACCGCAACAGCCACCAGACCTCAGCGGCTCCAAAACCAAGCCGACTGCGCTTGCGCCACGCCCTCCGCGCGGCTCCTTCTATTCACCAGGACGGCTCGCTCTCCGGCGTGGGTCCCGCCCACTCCCCTAAGCCCCTCCCCCTCCGCGCAGGGAGGCGGGATCGTGGCCGTTCCTCCCGTCTCATTCAGCGAAAGCAGCAGCCTCGGGCGGGAGGGAAGAGCGAGGGGTGTGTGTGTCTGTCACGGGAAGGCGCGGCTTCTGATTGGCCAAGAGGAGGCGAAGGTGAAAGGGCGGCCGAGGCGGCTGAGGAGTGCCCAGCGGGCCGCTGTGAAGTGATGGCGGCGTCGGCCTTTCTGTGTCGGGCTGGGGCTCGGCAGCCACTGCAGCCTGGCGTCCTGGAGCGGCTGTCCGTGGCGCGGGAGGTGAGGGGCGGCTGAGGGGAAGAGTCGCGGTTGGGTATGCCCGGCGCCGCCTGCGCAGCCGCCGAGTGGGCTGGAGGGAGTCGGGGTCGGATGCAGCGCCTTTAAGGCAACGGAGCCAGCCAGCAGCAGTATGGCAGGCAGTAGCTGCTAGTCTGACCGCCCGCCCGCCCGGGTCCCTTTCCCGGCCTGTCAGGGCTGTCCGCGCGCCACGAGTCCGGAGGGCGCTTGTATGTGCTCGGGGAAGGCGGTGGGGGGATGCCAGTGAGAGACGCGTGTCCGTTGCAGCTGCGTTACGCGTGTCTGTGCGTCCATCTGTCTCCGTCGGCTTTCAGCCCCCGTACACCGCCCGGTAGTCCTGGAGAGCCAGCGGCTTGTCTTTTGCAGGTGCGGGTCGTGGGCTTCGTATGCAAGCGCTGCTGGTGGGGATAGGGCGGCTGCATGGAAGGAGGCACCCCTGTCGGTTGAGTATATGCAGCACAGTTTTTTTAAAAATCCCACCGGTTCCTCCAAAGAGGTTCAGAGTGGCATGCGTGAGCCCTCCCCTTTAGTCTCACAACAACCCTGTGAGGTATGTGTGAGAAAGTGTGATATGCCATTACTGCTCGAGGGGCTTGTCTGCTCATCCCGTCTCCTGTGCTTAAGGAGGGGGATACCCTCTCTGGCTTCTTTTTTCCATGCATTTGACAATGTCATCTTGCTAAGAGCAAAACGATTCCCGAAAGGGGGCGGGGTGGGATGTCTGATGTGAATCTGTGGTTCCTGGTGCAAGCCAATTCAGGAAGAGAAAGTCTTGCTGAGTATCAGTCTCCTTCATGGCACACATTTGTCTCTGTCTCATGGTTCGTGCTTGGACATACGTTCCTATTTAACAGCATATGTAGTAACTTGCGTGCTGTTCTTTCCCCACTGTGTTAACCTTTGTTTATGACAGCATCTAAATATGACTGTGAGAAGGGGCTGGTACAGTTATGTGACCTAATGCACGTGAATGCTATAGGCATATTTAGTGCATCTCATCTTGTTAACGGTTTGTGCATAGAGGACCCAGAGCTTCACTGGTAGTATGACAGGCTCCCCACTTGCTTATGTTATGGACTTGAAGAACTGGATAGCTGGAGTTTATTCAGTATATATTTGGGTCCCATTCCCCTTATCCCCCCCCTCGTGCTTGGACATACGTTCCTATTTAACAGCATATGTAGTAACTTGCGTTACCTTTGTTTATGACAGCATCTAAATATGACTGTGAGAAGGTGCTGGTACAGTTATGTGACCTAATGCACGTGAATGTGAATGCTTTATGCATATTTAGTGCATCTCATCTTGTTAACGGTTTGTGCAGAGAGGACCCAGAGCTTCACTGGACAGCGTGCACAGTGTAGTATGACAGGCTCCCCACTTGCTTACCGTTATGGACTTGAAGAGCTGGATAGCTGGAGTTTATTCAGTATATATTTGGGTCCCATTCCCCTTATCCCCCCTCCCCAGGGTTTGAACTCATCATTTGTTCTCCCCCCCCACTCTCTCCCCCCCCCTTGCACCATGCAAGCAACTATTTCTGTGTTGTAAGGGAATCCCAGTGAGGTATTGGCTGACAAGTGACAATAACCAAGTGACAATAAACCTGTCATTTAGTGTTACTTTGCATGTCTTGATCATCATCAGGTCGCATGATGTTTTGCTGTTCATTCTCTGGCTATAGGTTTGAACCTTTTTTGCCTTTCTACATATTTGATAAAGTGTGTGTGCACAGGAAAGCTCATACCTTGAATAAACCTTTATTGAACTTAAAGGTGCCATTGGACTCTAAATAAACTGAATATCAGTATGTCATCTCAACGAAGCACAAAATTATCCCCATACATGATATATTTTTCCCTGTTTAATTTGCTAGGTGAAATGAATATGTGAATCGCTAGTAAACCAGATGCCATCTGTTGTTGGTATTTATTTAGAAAATGTTATATGGCATGTCTACAGAGACATTTATTTCAGTTTCTTGAAGGAATAAAGAAACTATGGCATGATGGTAACCTTGTGAACCTATATTTTCTTTGTACCAGTTACACACAGGGGGGGGGGAGTTTCCCATTGTCTTACACTTGCATTCTAAACGTCTTTCGTGACATTGCCTGTTCCTCTGCTATTTTGGTGTAATGTCTGTCATACCTTCTGTTTTTGGTATATCCGTACAGTGCTTAGAGTGTCAGATTAGGATCTAGGAGATCCCGGTTCGTACCCCCATTCTGCCTAGGAAGCTTGCTGGGTGATCTTGGGCCAGTTGTACACTCTCTGCTAACCCCCTTCACAGGGTTGTTGTGAGGATAAAATGGAGTACAGGCAAACAGATGCCGTTTTGCTCCCCACTGGGGAGAAAGGCAGGTAAAAATGAAATAAATGTTGCAATGGTTCAGCTACTCTGTTATGCTGGACTGTGAAGGGATGCCATCCAAATACTAATCAGCACTCATTTAGTGGATCCTTTATAGATGAGCTTCATGAGTAACTCCTTAAAATTACTCCCCATCTCTGTGCCTGTAAGCATGAACTGTGGCATTATCAGCAGGTCAACTGGTCTGAAGGAAACTTGCCTTATGCTGTTTCTGTAACTGCCAGCTATTTTATTTACTTGTTCGTTGGGCTTTGCCCTGTTAACCATCAACTGCCTGGTTGCTGTCATGTTGCAGGTACCCACAAGCCCTTTGCCCCCCCCCCCCCCCCCAGGCCAATTCACACGGCTAAGTGAAAGCACTCTGACACAGCTAAATACAAATCTCCATCAATGGTCCTGCCCTGGTTACCCGTGTCTTGTTACCTGCCCAACCACAATGAGAAACCCTGTACCATGATTGGTAAACATGGGGAGCCCTATGATGCTTTTCAAAATGGACTGCTGTGTTCCTGCAGAACTGCACATTTAAGTCTATAAAGAAATGCCACCCATTTAAGATTAGCAGCACCAACTCTTGAATGGTAACTGTTAATAAACATTCAAGAGACATGTGTTCACCAGAAAATCCAGTCTTCTGAAGTGTTTGAAGTTGCAAATTTTAAAATAACAGGCCCCTACACTGCTATAAAGGACAGGATTCAAATATTAGCTCTCCTTTCCCAGCAGTGTCAAGGTTATGATAAATATTCCCTTATCAGCAAAGCGAAAACAGGCAAACAAAGCCTGGCATCGTCCTGACTCACGGAGACCCTAGCTTCCAGAGCCACAGTCCTGTAACATGACAAAATCGTTTCACTTCACGAAGCACTCTCAGAACTCAAGTTCCATTGTAGCTACCTCATGTCAGACGTGTGGTACCTCAAGAAGTGTAAGGGCGCCACTATGCGGCATAAGCCACGAGAGCGGCTAGCGCCTTCTTATAAGAGAGACCACAACAAGGCCGGGTCAGCTGTTACTGAGTTTTCGGCCAAAAGCGAATATTCTGTGGAGCAAATGAAACTGCGCCAGGTTGTCTTGGCACCTAGAAATTTCATGGTGGCACCTAGTACTTTTTGTGGCAGCAATAATTAGGAAATATGGGTATACATAACCCTGATTGCTGAACTGTCAGATCCACACGTGACTCCCCAGGTCACTGGTTATCACCAGTGTTCCCTCTAAGCTGAGTTAGTGTGAGCTAGCTCACAGTTTTTTAGCCTCCGACTCACACATTTTTGTCTTAGCTCAGGAAGGATGGCTCCAGAGCAAACTAATTTATGCAGTAGCCAAATTGTTTGCTCACAACTTTAAGGCCAGTAGCTCACAAAATAGAATTTTTGCTCACAAGACTCCACAGCTTTGAGGGAGCATTGGTGGTATGTAATAGGAAACTACTAAAGGATAACTGTCAACTAGAACAAATTTAGAGTCCAGTGGCACCTTTAAGACCAACAAAGGTTTACTCAAGGTCTTTGCCAACTGGACTCTAAATTTGTTCTACTGCTTCAGACCAACACGGCTGACCATCTGGGTGTCAACTAGAACTTGATGTGCCTGAATTGAGGCCCTGGTCACACGGAAGGTTTTGGGCCGGGAGAGGGATGGATCGGAGGCACAGCAAACGGGTGCGATCTCACCGCAACATCTGGGAAGCGTTGCGCACCCGTCCCTGATCCGGCCCTAACCCCGGAAAACCCGCTGCAAAAAAGAACCTTCTTCAGAGGAGGACTTACCTGCAGCACCGCAGCAAGCGCGGCCGTGGGATCACCACCGCGCCTGTTGTGCATATCAATCCCAGCTCCCCGCCAAACTGTGCATGCGCACACATGCGCAGTTTCTTTCTGTGGCTTCCCCCCAGCATCTGATCGTGCCGGGGAGGAAGTGCGCGGCGGCTTACATGATCTATGTGATCCTGCCGCCGCGTGTCTCTTTTGCTGCGGCTTTAAAAAGCCGCACTTGCCCATCCCCCCCCCCGTGTGGCAGGGACCTCTGTTGATCTTTTTTAGTATGAAGTGTGGAAATGTTAATTAGCTTAACTGCAATGATGGAAGTTTTGTGACTAGTCTCCCTTTCACTTTTAACTTGAGTAACAGCCTTTTAAAATTTATGGAGGAAAAGTGTTGGCTGATAATTCTGAGAGAAAATGTTAGCGCACACCCAGCCCAAATGAAGAAACTTAGTCTTGGCCTATCAACTGTGTTTATCATGAATCTTCAGAAGCTGATTTGGTGGTGTAACATGTTATGGGATGTTTGAGCTCTCTGTAGGAGGACAGGTTTCTGTTAAAATGTAGACTTAAGTTACAGATGTGAAGTAAAGTTTTAACTCTTTATCGGGGTTAAACATTAAACCTTCTTGTGAAAAGTTTATGAGCATGCTTTGTTCTCAGTTGAATGTGTCTTTCCAGCATCTAACATAATTGTCTAGAAGGGTTTTTTTGGTGTGTGTGTGTGTTTTACCGTGCATAGTTAAACTAAGCAATGTTTCTTATGGGGATGATGAAATACTGGTGTACAAGGGGAGATTAGTGAGGTGCCAGGAATTTGGTAATTGCAAGTAATTTCAAGAA